CTGATCACCTCTCCAAAAGAGTACATGTCAGTACGTGTGGCACTCTATTGCTCTGGAGACAGTATGAACAAAAAATTGTGAAACAAAGAAAAAAAATTATTTAATTTTCCAAAAATCTGTGACAAAAAATAACAACTTCAAAAATCTCATTATGCATTTTATTAAATACCTTGGGGTGTCTACTTTTCAAAAAGGGTTTACCTTGGGCGTATTTTTACTGTCCTGGCATTCTGGAGCCTCAAGAAATTAAATAGGTCATCAGTACATCAGGACTGATCAATTTTCATAAATACATATGCCATAGTTTGTAGACTCTATAACTTTCACACATAGTAAATATTATACACTGATTTGGGTTTTTCTTTACCAAAGAAATGTAGCAGAATACATTTTGTCCTAACTTTATGAAGACAGTTTATTTGCCAAATTTTATAACAGAAACTAAGAAAAACTTTTTTTTTTTTTAAATTTTTGGTATTTTTTTCATTTATATAGCAAAAAAAAAACCCCAGTGATGATTAAATACTCCAAAAAGAAAGCTGTTTGTCTAAAAAAAATGATAACATTTTCATTTGGGTATAGTGTTGCTTGACTGAGTAATTGACACTTAAAATGTGGCAGCACTGAAATCTGAAATATTGACCCTGACATGAAGGGCGTGAAAGTGTCTTGTATTGAAGTGGCTAAAGCTAACCTATTGTTTTGCCCTATACATATACGAAAGCACAGCTTTCCTTTGAAATAGAAAACATTCAAATATTAGCAATTCTGTCAGAAACAAAAAAAAAAATAATTTTTTCCTCTTGTACCCATGGTTGATAATATGCCTGCTTAAAATCACTACCACACTTTTACTGCTGCTATTTATTGCTGCCCCTCCACATATTATTATTATTATTATTATTATGTATATTATATTATTATTATTATTATACATAGGCATAGCTCTATGTCTATGTCTATGTCTATATATGCCTATGTATTATTATACATAGGCATATATATGTATATTATATTATTATTATTATTATTATACATAGGCATAGCTCCCAATTTTGTAACTTAAGAATGAGGGTTATCCTGGAAAAGAGAAGATAGGTGGCATAGTGGAAATAGGTGTTGTTTAATTTGTAAATTAACTTTTAAGCTTCCATTGATGTGTTGGGTACAGTCGCTGTTCAGGGATTTATGCAACCAGAAGTTGCTGTACCTGTCTATACAATAGCCATCAATGTAGATTCCTCCTTCCATGCTGTTTAGTGTAATTAACCAATTTCTCTAAGCAAGTAGATCTTGTGGGTTTCACATTTGGTCTCACAATGCCTCCAGAAACTCTGCATTGTGGTTGTACACTTCACTTTGCAAGTCTCTTGCATTGAGTCACATTATCCAGAATCAGACTGCCAAATGGTCTCCTTGTTACAGAATACAGATAAGTTCATATTCATTCTAATCTTCCTATCTACCATCTCCTATTCCTCCCTAGGCGTCTTGCACATAGGTGAAAAATTGTAGCAGTGTAGAGTCTTTTTTTTTTTCTATAGAGCTGAACGTAGGTGCATTGTTGTCTCTAAGACAATGCACACAGCTGTCTGTAGGCAGGTGTAGGTTGACATCCCTACAACAGTGGCACTGTTGCAACCACCCTGCAGTGGAGGACAGGTCCTCTTGGGTCTCCATAAGTGTCATTGAGTGGTTTGCTGTCCTATTGCCAAACGGTGACTCCTGTGGACATCTTTAATGAGGGCAGAGCTTACTAAGAGAGTGTGTAGGAAGAGGTTCCAGAGGAGGTGGGATAGCATAGGCACTTTCGTCAGAGCTTCTTGGGGAACTTCTCTGCTATTCGTTCTTGCTGCATCTTCCTTCCAGCCTCTGTACATCACTCTCGTCAAGTACTGTATAACGTCTGTGAGTGTTGCCGCCAGTTCTAAACTGTTGCATAAACTCTGTTACTGTATGTGAATCATGTTTGACCATACAACTTTGTGTGTGCCATGCCTTCACTCTGGTGTTCCTAGCACTCGGACCCCCTTACAGCCTAAATGTGCAAGGATTCATGATGTAGCGATGCATTCAGAACCATAAATAAATATGCTAGTATATATGAGGGTAAATATGTAAATTCCAACACTGAAAGCTAGAAGAGGATGAAAAATAATTTGTATGCATGTTTACACACTTACGCATGCATATACACAAGGTTTTATGGAACATAACTTGAGTTTTTTACACAAGATCTTCCTTTCAAGGAATAGCCTGTGTAAAAACCTCAGTATAATCTGTCTGATTGAGAGCAGGGCTTAAGGTGCCCTAGTGTGGACATTGTGGAACTGCATTTACTAATGCCTAAACCTTAGGCCAGGTGCTTGGGGTCATGTGAATCCGCATTAAGGTAGAACTCCAGACTCAAAAGCAAGCAGCAGCTTGCACAAATAACTCTTTCCATGGCCAAACTTCTCTTATTGTTAACACTAAGCACTTCGGACACACTTCTGTTAGAAAAAAACACTTCCCCAGGTGTTCAACAGACCATGGATCATGTACTGGTCTCCACCAACTCAGCAATCCTTGTCAAGTCACTCCCTGTGCTTGGTCCAACTGTTTCTACTGGATACAAGAAACACACTTCTCCATAACTCCATGTATGTTCTCCTTCCAAGGGCCCTCTATATTTCTCTCTTTCCCATGATCCCAAAGCTGGGTTCCTAGGTACTGTGTGTCAAGGATTGGATCCCAGAAAGCAAGGAGCCATCCACTAGTAAAGGGGCCAAGCATGACACCTCTTCACTACCAGAGTAACTGTCACCTTTGCCATGCCACACGTCTCCTGGCTGATTGGCTGCTTTAGTGAGTAACACAAATACCGTTGTCCTTATTAACAGCATTCTGCTTATTTAACACTGTACTGTCAGTCCTCTGATTCTTTTAGGTATGCTGCCATGCATGTGCCACTTTGGAGAGACTTCAGACCAGGCATTATAGATGAACAACAAAGATCTTTTATTAAGTAGTTAAGGGCAACAGACAGTTCTCAAAAACAACTTCCACACACTTTCCTGTACAGAGTTCTCTAAATTCCCATGAAGTAGTCATATCTTAGTTAGGAGCAATGTTTATAAAGCAATTTTTTCAAGGGAAAAATCCTATTCGGCAGTAAATCTCTTGGAGTCCACGATTTGGCAGTAATCCACAAAAGGTAGTAAGTCCATAACTGGAAGCTATACATATCCATATCCAGGTTCTAGACCCCACAGGGAACCCTGATTGGGCTTCCTAGAAGGGGGCTCAGACTGAGTAATCTTGATAGCCTTTCCCTAACCCAAACCTCTTGGGGCACAGAAGAACCCCTACTTATATAGTATGACATGTAAGGGGCTGTAAACTTCTGAAAAGAGTGGCAAACCTGGTCAGCAGCAATAACCCTTCCTTCTCAGATTCAGCAAGCCAGTAGATCAACCGACACAGCACATATTGTAACAATTAGCTTGTACAAATAACACAGTCAATATATATTGTGCAGCGCTAATCTAATCTAAAAAATACTAACAACATTTAAATGCATACTGATACTATGTATTGAACGAATTAAATAAAAATAAATATAAAAATAGTCCAATGTCCCACAAATAAAGTGCAACACCTCTTCATAAATACTCCAGTGTACTTAAGAAACTAATTGTGCTCCCCACACTGCTGCGATTAAGCAACTTACCAAGTAACGTATGACCAAAGATTATAATGGTCACAGAAGCATGTTTCCCCACTATGGGTTAATGGCTCCACTAGCAAGATAGATCAGCCAGGATGCCACTCCATCTCCACATTGTCAGCAGACAGGATCTTACACCATAATCAAAGTGACAAGAAGGAAAACTCCATAGTGTAAAATTGTTACAGCATGAATTTATAAAAATCAAAGTGCAAACTGAAATAAAAACTCCTGTATGACAGCATATAGGGCTCCTGTGTCATAAACACAACTCGGTCTAATCATCATATGTGCGATAACGTCATGTCCCGTGGTCATGCCCGAACGCTTTCGCTGGAGATGGCACCATCAAGGGGACTCGCTGGATGTGTCACAGCGCATGGCTGACTTATATAGGGAAGACTACAGCAACAATCCCTGACTGGCATGCATATGCCAATTATAGGAGCTCCCTCTAGTGTTTATCAGGAAATAAAGATAAAAATTACATGGTTCACATAGAGCTCCCTGTGTGTTCACCAAAAATAACTGCACATAAAAAAAAAAAAAATACAGGAGCTCTTGTTTACAAAAGGCTGACACATATACAGGAGCTACATGTTTAATAAATAAAATCCTGTAAATACTTAATAAAATAAACCAATAGCACATATCATATCTCTAAGAATCAGCCAAATATGAATAATCACTATCAATATAAACCCTAAATATAAAACCAAATGGGAACAAAGAAAAACCATTTACAAACTGAGAATCAACCATTATGCAAAAAACAGGTAATATCCAAGTCTACATTCAGCCATGAGGGCTGTACGTTTTCAACTGATAAATCCATCTGGTCTCTCTTCTAGATATCTCTCTCTGGATATGACACCCCTTCCAGTGGAGTGTAAGCTTATCTACAGCAACAAATTTTGTACCTGATGGATCTGTGTCGTGGCATCGAGAATAAATGTTTTGCAAATAGTGACCTTTGAAACCTCTCTTAATATTTGCGGTATGTCCCTGGAGATGCACATATAAAATTGCGTACTGTACGTCCTACATATTGTTTGCCACAGGGGCACTGGATCATATAGACTACATTCTTAATTGTACAAGTAATAAAAGTATCAATATTGTAACTTTTTCCTGTTTGTTGAGATTGGAAGGAAGTAACTTTTCCTCCTACTGTTCCGTTAATGCTCCATACAGAACATCTAAGACAAGGATAGAATCCTACCATTGGTCCAAAAAATGAAGACAATCTAGGGAGGTTCACTACATTAGGAGAAATGTTATATCTAAGGGAAAGGCACACCACGATATACACTGTATTTAAAGTATTGGGACAACCCTCCAAATCATTGGATTCAGGTGTTCCAATGACCTCCATGGCCACAGGTGTATAAAATAAAGCACCTAGGCATGCAGATGGCTTCTACAAACATTTGTGAAATAATGGGTCACTCTCAGGAGCTCAGTGAATTCAAGCGTGGTACCGTGATAGGTTGCCACCTGTGCAATAAATCCATCTGTGAAATTTCCTTGCTACTAAATATTCCATGATCAACTGTTAGTGGTATTATTATGTTAGGGGCATTACAAAGTGGAAGCAACTGGGAACAACAGCTACTCAGCCATGAAGTGGTAGGCCATGTAAAATGACAGAGCGGGGTCAGCGCATGCTGAAGCGCACAGTGAGCAGAAGATGCCAACTGTCTGCAGAGTCAATAGCTAAAGACCTCCAAACTTCATGCGGCCTTCAGATTAGCACAACAACAGTGCATAGGGAGCTTCATGGAATGGGCCTTACATCACCAAGTTGGATGCAGTGGTGTAAAGCACGCCACAACTGGACTCTAGAGCAGTGGAGACGTGTTCTCTGGAGTGACGAATCACACTTCTCTGTCTGGCAATCTGATGGATGTACAGTATCTGGGTTTGACTGTTGCCAGAGAACAGTACTTGCCTGACTGCATTGTACCAACTGTATAGTTTGGTTGAGGGGGAATTATGGTGTTGGGTTGTTTTTCAGGTGTTGAGCTTGGCCCCTTAGTTCCAGTGAAGGGAATTCTTAAGGCATCAGCATGTCAAGACACTTTGGACAATTTCATGCTCTCAACTTTGAGGGAACAGTTTGGGAATGGCCTCTTCCTCTTTCAACATAACTGCGCACCAGTGCACAAAGCAAGGCCCATAAAAACATGGATGAGCGAGTTTCATGTGGAAGAACTTGACTGGCCTGCACAGAGTCCTGCCTTCAACCTGATAGAACACCTTTGGGATGAATTAGAGCAGAGACTGTGAGTCAGGCCTTCTCATCCAACATCAGTGCCTGACCTCACAAATTACGCTTCTGGAAGAATGGTCAAACATTCCCATAGACACATTCCTAAACATTGTGAACAGCCTTCCCAGAAGAGTTGAAGATGTTATAGCTGCAAAGGGTGGGCCAACTCAATATTGAACATTACAGACCAAGACTGGGATGCCATTAAAGTTCATGTTCATGTAAAGGCAGGCATCCCAATACTTTTGGCAATATAGTGTATCACTGTAGAACAATCGGGTAGGAGGGGTTCCAAAATGTGGTCATTCGTCACAATAAACCAATGTTTGAGGATCATCTTTTTAACAGCATAATGTTGAGTTGAAAATTTTGTGATCAGAGACCAACCAAACCTATTATAATCATCTATCTATTTTCACACATTTGTGATAGCAAATGAACAGCATAGATATATATTGTGCAGCGTTGTACAATAGCAATGACTATACCTCCATTCAGTGTTTAGAGATTTAATGCTTAAAGATTTGGATACACTTAAAATCAAACAAACACAAAATGGGCTGGGATGATTATGTGAATGGGAGGATATCATTATCCATCCCACAGATAAAGGTGGAGGTGTGGTTATGCTAGACAAAGTAGATCATATGAATGAGATGTACAGGTTATTTTCATAGGAAACCTACTGTATATACCTGTAGCTGTCAATCCCACTAATGAATATAAGAAATCATTACAGCAAATTAATGATAGAAGCTACAAATATCATATTCTTACTAAAAAGGAGAAGGCATTCTTGATTCCAGTGGCAGCTTGTGTACCTGTTACATATTATCTCCCGAAAGTTCATAAAATCTGGATAACCCTTCGAGTCACCCTGTCGTAAGTGAAATAGATTTGGTAACTGCTAGAATGAATTGGTAAATATGTGGATGAATTTTTGCAACCATTAGTGGGAGATCCACCTACATTATTAATCTTCCTAAGGGGTGGTGGGGAAAGAGAGTTAGATTTTAGTCAAAACTGATTTGGCTTCTTTATACACCATTAATTCACAGGGGAGAGGCCATGGGAGCTAAATTTGCACTCAGTATGACTAATTTGTTCATGACTGAATGAGAGGATGATGTCATTTATGGCAGTTTGATCCCAGAATTGATATTCTGGCGCAGATACATTGATGACATCCTCCTCCTATGGGACGGTGACATGCATTTTAAAGAACTTTTTTGCTGAAAAAAAATGACAATAATAGGGGTTTCTGCCTTGAATATGAAGCTAGCTTTGAACAGATACATTTTTTAGATTTGAACATTAAGGTATTGGATGGACGTTTAATTGCAAGTACTTTTTTAAAGAGACAGAAATTTGTTTATCCCCTTGAGTAGTTGCCACCATGCTTAGTGGCTATGCTCAGTGCCTAGAAGTCAATTCCAAAGATTGAGAAATAATTGCACAAATATGGATGACTATCTGATGCAGGGTGAAACTTTTAAAAAATTTATTGAAAAGGGTTATGATCAACCCGAGATAGAAAGTTCCATTTTTGAGGTTGGACAGATTAATAGGGAAAGTATGTTGGAAAAGAAAACTAGGCCTGTGAGATAAGATGATAATAGTAGGTTTGGTTGGTCTCTGATCACAACATTTTCTACTCAACATTATGCAGTTAAAAAGATGATCCACAAACATTGGCCTATTTTGAAGAATGATCAAATTTTGTGTCCCCTCTTAACCGATTGTCCCACAGTAATATATTATGCTGTGACTTCCTTTAGACATAAAATTGCTCTTAATGTAATTAACCCCCCTAATTGCCTGTATTTTTTTGGATCAATGGTAGGATACTACCCTTGCCGTAGATGTTCCTGTATGCAGCATTAATGGAACAGTAGGAAGGTAGGTTACTTCCTTCCAATCGCAACACAGGGGAAAAAGTTAAAATATTGTACTTTGTACAACTAAAAATGTAGTCTATATGATTCAGTGTCCTTGTGGCAAGCAATATGTGGGACGTACAGTACGCATGTTACATGTACGTCTCCAGGAACATTTTGCAAATTATAAGAGAGGTTTCAAGGGTTACTATTTGCCAAAACATTACTCTTGATGCCACAATACAGTTACAGAATTTTTTTTGCTATAGCTAAGCTTACACCCCACTGGAGGAGGTGTCATATATGGAGAGAGATATCTAGAAGAGAGACAAGATAGATTTATCAGTTGAAAACCTATAGCCCTCATGGCCTGAATGTAGACTTAGATATTACCTGTTTTTTTTTAACCATTTGCCGCCCACCCTATGGCTGAATGTCGGCCGGCAATGTCATCAGCGTTCCGGGTGAATGCCATATGGCGTCCTCCCGCACATGCGCAGATTGCGCTCCTGCAGAGCCACGCAGCGGCGCGATCTGTCACCAGCCATGTACCTCGGACACAGCCGATGACAGATCTGAGTTGGATGGCTTCATTCATGCCATCCATTGTATACTAGTGTCTAGCTGTGAATGGTCACAGCTAATCACATGCACATGTTATGTGATTAGCTGTGGCCAAATCACAGCTAAGCACAAAAAAAAAAAAAAAACCCTGAATGAATCGATGTCATTCAGGTAAATGCTTGCTTATAGCAAAGTAATTCTTTGCTATAAGCAAATTGTGTAAAAAAAAAAAAAAATACTGATCACTTCCCCAAAGTAGTACAATGTTACTATGGTAACATTGTACTACTTTGGTCATAGTGAAATATGAGAAAAAAATCTTTAAAAAAATAAGAAAAAAAAAATTTAATAAAAAAAAAAAAATATTATATTTTTTTTTTTTCATACTGTCACCAGTCAGTGTCCCTGATCACCGCCATGCCAGTTATATGATGACACTGTACTGCACTGGTGACAATATGTAAAAAAAAAAATAGTGAAACTAATTTTTTTAATTTTTTCATTTTCCGAAAAATTATGACAAAAAAAGTACAACTTCAAAAAACTCACCATGCCTCTTATGAAGTACGTCGGACTGTCTACTTTGCAAAAAGGGGTCATTTGGGGGATATCTGTACTGTTCTGACATTCTTGGACCTCAAGAAATTAGATTGGCTGTCAGTACTTCAGGATTGATCAATATTCAGATCTATACCATAGTTTGTGAACTCTATAACTTTCCTACAAACTAAAAAACACATCCTAATATGGGTTATTTTCACCAAAGACATGTAGCAGAATACATCTTTGCCTAAATTTATGAAGAACAATTATTTATTTGCAAACTTTTATAACAGAAACAAAGAAAAATGTGTGTTTTTTTCAAAATGTTTGGTCTTTTTTTGTTAATTTAGCAAAAAATAAAACCCCAGCGGTGATTAAATACCACTAAAAGAAAGCTCTAGTTGTGTGAAGAAAATGATAACATTTTAGTTTGGGTACAATGTTGTATGACCGCGCAATTGTCATTCAAAGCGTGAGAACGCTGAAACCTAAAAACTGGCCTGGGCAGGAAGGTGTAAAATTGCCCGGTATTGAATTGGTTAATAATGGTTGATTCTCAGTGTGTAAATGGAGTTGATTGTTTTTTTTTTACTTTTTTTTTCCCCATTTAGTTTTATTTTTGAGGTCTGTATTGATAGTGATTATTCATATTTGGCTGATTCTTAGAGATATTGTAAGTGGTATTGGTTTATTTTATTAAAGGTTTAGAGAATTATGTATTTATGATTTTATTTAATGTATTTTATATTGTATTTTTATGTATGCCGATAATTTTATATATGTCAGCCTTTTGTAAACAAATGCTCCTGTGCTGTGTGAGTCTTTCTTTTTTTACATTCTGTGTAGTTATTTTTGGTGAACACCACAGCGAGTTCTGAGTGAACTGTGTATTGTTATCTGTATTTCCTTTGGATGAACACTAGAGGGACCTCCTATAATTGATTTCCATATGTATGCCATTCAGGGATTGTTGCTGTAGTCTTCCCTATATAAATCAGCTGCGCGAGTCCCCTTGATGATACTGTCTCCAGCAAAATCTGTTAGGCAGGACCACAGAACATGATGTTATCGCACATACGATCGATGATGAGACTGAGTGGTGTTTATGACACAGGAGCACTTGAGATCCTTGTCAAAGAGGGGTTTTTATGTGAGTTTGCACTTTGGTTTTAGGCCTGGTTCACTCATATGCGTTTTTTTTGGTGCTTTTTGCAGAAACATAATACAATCTATTTACCATGGTTGTCTATGGGACATGTTCACATCTATGCTTTTTTTCAGCCGCTGTGTTTTTGGAATAGGGCAGGAACTTTTTTAAAATGCAAACCGGTGCATTTTTGGTTCAATAGACTTCAATAGAGACTCATGTAGTGCGTTTGTGAAGCGTTTTTGACACGTTTTGCATTTTTTAATCTGCTCAACAACAAATTGGCAAAAAAAAGCATTAAATAGAAGCAAAACGCATAAAAGAGTGTGTGTGCAAAAATGTAAAACGCACCATAAAAATAACTTTAGAAACTGCATAGGTGTAAACTAGTCCTTAATAAATTTATGCTGTAATGATTTTACACTATGGAACTTGTTTCTTCCATGTCACTTTGATTATGGTGTGGGATCCTGGCTGCTGACTTTGGTGTGGAGTCGAGTGACATCCTGGCTGATCTATCTTGCTGTTGGAGCCATTATCTCATAGTGGGGAAACATGCTTCTGTGACTGTAAAATA